AGAGGGAGAGGGGGAGAGGTAGCATGTAAAGTGTTCTTACTTAATGTTGGACCCTCGCACCAACCACCTTCTGTCAATCAGGAATGGAACCTTCTGTGTCTTCCGACCTCTTGCCGCTCAAGAGTGCAGTTTCTAAGACTCGGAATGTCAGAGCAGGAATGCCGCTGCCAAAGGGGCAGCTGGCGGTTTCCGGGTGACACGCCTAGTGGGGATGTGAACGGCACAGTGCCATCCCGAGTCCAGTGGCTGCACTTCCTCAGGACTTGGCTTCTTCATATGCTCCACCATGAATGGAGAGCGTCCTTCAACTCGGAGTCACGGGGATCTTCATTGTTTTCACAGCACACCGCTGTCACAGGTGTGCACACTAGCCCTACGAAGGTTGATCAATAAATAACCCCTCGAGCCCGCGGCTCGGGCCTGCACGCTCTGCGTCTGCACGAGACCCAGCGGGCCAGCCAGGGCTGAAAGCAGCAGCTTGTACCCTGTCCCAGGGGAGGGGTGGGAAGTAATAAATAGCCAGGAGCCCGACCTGCGGCGGACGAGCATCTCATAAAGTGAAGAGTTCCCTAGAAAGCCCAAGGAAAACCCCGTTTTCTGTGGGAAAGTGCACGTTTGCCTGTGTGTGAAGACCTGTTCAATCCAGGGTGACTGTACCAGGGAGGGCGTGGAAAGCCATCAAAGCACACCCACGACGGAGGGAGCGACTCCAGTGGGGCCTGGAAAGAGGCCCGGCTGGGGGACAGCTCCTGGGTGAGCAGCCGCCACAGCCTCAGGACTGGGGACGGAGCTCCTTGCTGTGCAAACTGGGAAGCAACTCCTGGAAATGGCGACCGGCTTCTCAGGAATGGGGTAAAGATGCATTTGAGAAAACAAGTGGTTAAAATCAACAACAGAGGAACAACACTGGGAAAATCAAAACACGATGTCGGGAACAGAAGGACTGAGGGCCCCAGTGTACAAAGGAGGCCACCAGCCCTCCTCGCATCAAATTTAAGACCATACAGGGAACACGGACGGGGCTCTCACAGCAGTTCAACATGCAGCCACTTCAAACACAAGGACCCCGCGCCTCACGCAGGTCTGGGAATGGGCGGCGACATCCAGTTCTCCAGAGAGAAACACAACAGCACGCGATTCCACAAGCCAAGGCCCCTTGTCTTAGACTTAGATCCAGCTCGGAGTCCCGGGTTCACGTCAGCAGCACTGCCCACTTCAACCCCAGGCCAAGGCCGGCCCTCCTCCATGCCCACCCCGCGCCTGCTCCCAGGTGTACGCTCCAGTCCTAGCCAGGCCCCAGGCCCCGGAAAACCTCAGCTGCGGCTTCACAAGGTTATGATCGTCCCATCTTCCTCCAGGAGCTTCTGATCTGGAGCTCGGGTGTCGAATTCCGTGTTTGTGCCACTTGCTACGGGTGCTAAGCTCACGTCGTGGGAAGGAATAAAACCGTTCTGCCCGGACTCAAAACTGAGTTCTACCTGTGTTAAGGACTCCAGGCTCTCGGCCTCGGGGACGGCCTTGGGAATCTGCTGCGGCACGCCGTTGTCCTCAATGACGATGTCGTCTTCATCGCTGTCCTCGTCCTCTGGCTCCAAGCTTGGTTCCATCTGCTGCGGGTAGCCCACGAGGCTGTTATCGGTGGACTGGCCGGAGCTGCCGGAAGTCCGACTGTTCCTGACAACGTTGTTCCTCTGGTTCGCCGGTCGCACCGTGATGATGAGGTTGCGGCTGTTGGCGATCATCATGTCAGTCACTTGGTCAAGACTCTTCCCTGAGACTTCGATGCCGTTGACCTCTAGGACCTCGTCATTGACAGCCAGCAGTCCTGTGCTTTGAGCCAGACCCCCTGGGACGAGCCTGGAGATGAAGATCCCAGGGACCTTCTCCAGCCCGTGTGGCGTGACCCGGACACTGGAACCGTCCCGGATGTAGAAGCCCAGGGGCTTCTCGGTGCCGTATTTGTACAGACGAACCCGACGGTGTGTCTCCGGGAGAATGTCCACGTCTATGATGGAAGACACGGGCCTGAAGTCCTGGGGCATACTGATGACTATGTGTGGCTTTTTTCTGTGGTTGTCAGGACGTAACACATTGGTCAAAACGTTCTTCTTCTTTATCAGCGTGTCTGTACCAAAGGCACTGTAGTCTGCTTCTTCTGTTTAAAAATAAAATAAAATAGTTACAGAAACACTGTAGAGATGACCATTTGCCGCAGTTCAATCTGTACAGGGAGGACAACTCGAATGTACTTGGGACATAAACTAAATATCACATCATTCTAGTCAGGACATCACAGTGCGACGTGCCACACCCCAGAACAGCCACTAGGGGGCCTCTCGCTCTCACATCACAAAGTCACCCGAGGTCTAGTTCAGCTTGACACAGGGCAGTGACTGTGGCAAACAAAGTTCTAATAGGTCTTTTTTGTTGTTGTTTGTTTGTTTTAAGATGGGTCTCACTGTGTCGTCCAGGTGGTCTCAGGCAATCTTCCTGCCTCCGGAAACACAGGCAGAGGCTGCTCTGCCCAGCAACACATGCATTCTTTACACACCATTTTAAACCAGCTACTTTAAATATGTTTTTCCTTCGTTTGTTTAAAAGACTTCCAATTTGCATGCTTATATTCCACTCAAGGACACAAGAGGGATCCTTGATTCCCAAGTAAATCAATTCCAAGCAAAATCCAATAATCAACGCCCGAGAGGCTCTGGAGGAAGAGGAGCCCTCGCACACTGTTGGGGGGACTGGGAACTAGCACAGCCACCATGGGGAGGAGCCCAGGGGCGCCTAGAGACCAGGCCCGGAGCCACCACTCGGTGCTCGGCCGCTCCACTTCTCAGTCGTGAACTGCAGTCCTCTCACTACGGGGACACACACGCCCACAATCACAGCCGCACAACTCGCAACAGCCCCACCAGGGTCAGCCCAGGTCCTCAGTGGATGAAGGGATAAAGAAAGTGTGGCACTTACGCCCTGGAGTTCGATTCAGCCACCAGGAAAATGAACTTGTGGCGTTTGCAGGAAAATGGATGGAACTTGGGAACATTATGTTAAGCAAAATGACCCACACTCAGAAGGTCGAGGGTCGGATGCTTTCCCTCCCAGGTGGAAGCTACAGAGGAAAGAGGAGAAGAAAGGTGGCGCAGGGGAGGGCCCGCCGGGGAACTGAAGGGAGATCAACAGAGGACAGGGATGGAAGGAAGAGGGGAGGCATCCTGCAGACACGGGGGCCACACAGGCCTAAGGGACCGTCTTACGTGCGTATGTGCAACCTGTGATGACAAATCCCACCACGTACAACTACAGTGCACCAATCAGATATGGAAACAAGAATAAATCAAGTGGTTAGAAACGGGCAGACAGTGTGATTAAACGATGCTGGCGTGTGGCAAATACTTTGGGATTTTGATCTGCAATTGACTCTCTCCCTTGGTTTTGTATAGGTTTTTTTTCTTTTCTTTTGTGGGGGTGGTACCAGGGATTGAACTTGGGGCACCTGCCCACTGAGCCGCATCCGCAGCCCTATTTTGTATTTTATGTAGAGACAGGGTCTCACTGAGCGCTTAGCACCTCGCTTTTTGCTAAGGCTGGCTTTGAACTTGCATTCCTCCTGCCTCAGCCTCCGCGTGCCAGGCACCACCTACGGGTTCCTAATCTTTCGTTTTCCCAAAGAAGCAGAGGTATAGACAGGAGCGGTGGCACAGCCTATAATCCCAGCAGCTCAGGAGTTGGCAAGTTCAAAGCCAGCCTCAGCAACTTGGCAAGACACTGTTTCAAAATTTTAAAAAATTTTTTAACCGTGGGGGACTGGGGATGAGGCTCAGTGTTCAGTGCCCTGGGTTCAACTACTGGTATCAAAAGAGAAAAAGAAAAAAAAATGAGGCCGAGGGTAAGATTTTTAACTTTTCTTCGGTGTGTGAAAGACAAGTGCGCTGGCACCCGTGTCACAGTGACAGACAAGGAGCCAAGGCTCTGGCAAACCAGAGAGCTTCTGCCCACGTGAGATGGCACAGCTGTGCCCAAAAGCCTTGTTTCCAGGCGAAATCTCGCCGTTTTAAAACATTAACACCCGAATAAGAAAATACCTGTTTGCACTGAATTACAAACCTGGGTTTGAGGTTATTCCTAAAGTCATCAATTTGTGATCTCTGACCTAAACTAAGGGAAAGCAGGGCCCCTGACCCAGACATTGTTCAACTCTGCCACCGAAGGGAGCCGGTCTACAAGCAAAACATCAGAGGGTCAGGAGCGAAAAAAGAAACAAAGTTAACAACGAGAACAAAGTTGACGCCCTATCTTCAAACTAACTGGAACGAGGAGACTGGCGTGGTGCAGCGCCTGGTGCACTCGGAGGCTGTGGCAGAAGGACCCCAAGTTCAACTCGCGAGACCCTGCCACATAAATAGAAATAAAATAAAATAGGGACGTGGCTCAGGAATAAAGCACCCTGGGCTAATCCCCAGAACGGCGGGGGAGGAAGGCAGAAGGTCCCCTGATCCCCAGAAAGAACTAGTCTGAAATTCTGGTCTCCAGGAAGCAACAGGCACTGCCTTCACCACCCAGTGTCCTGCTCTGTCCCCGTTCTCACCCTCAGCGGTGACCATCACCTTCATCAAATAAATTACACAGAAAGAACGGAACCAGTGGCCAGCACGCCCAGGGGCACTTGTGTTCTCTTCTGATGCCCATGAACTCTTCCAAACCTACTTTGAGGTGAATGTGTAAGACGAGGGCCCCCACTGTGGCACCCCCCACCGGGACTCTCTTGGTTCTAAGGTATTTACACTGTGTTCTTACAGAAACCGAAAGCTACTTACAATTTGGTGTTGGAAACAAATCCGCTGATACACGAGGCTTGCTTCTCTGCAAATTTTGGCTAAGACTATTAACATTATCTTCTACTAAGTGTGTTTTCACACACACACACGCACACACACACACTCTTTAAATTTTAAAACAACCAATAATGAAAGCCTACACAACATTTATAAGGGAAATTCCAGAGTACAAACTGAGAACAAAGCCAAGTTGCCCACAAACCCGCTCATGGGAAACCTGACCAAAAAACCTCCAAATCTGCATAATTTGGCATCCCATCCAGACTCCATTTGAATGCTCTCTGCTAAATTCTCAAAAGCAATATGCTCCAGCACAAAGGCACCTTTGTTCTCCCATCTAGCTAATCAGTTTCCAGCCACTGGGAAAGAAATATTTTGGCAGAAAGCCAGGGTGCAGAGTGTTAGTGTAAAGTGTAAAGGTGAATGTCCACCAGGAACCCAGCGACTTTCTACGAGTGTGCACATGGGAGCACTCAACTCGGGGCGAGGCCGGAGTCTGCGCACCTGACGCACAGCGAGCCTCCACTGTATACAGCCAGATCCCACCACAGGCAGGACGCAGGCCCACAGAGCAGAGCTACCAGCCAGCGTCGCCGAGCCAGCAATCCCAGCCACCTACAAGGAACCAGGACCCACCTGGAAGGCCTGAGCAGCCAGTGGACGTGGCCACGCTCACCAGGCCAGTCCCTGAGCCTGACTACAGGGGAGAACGACAGGGCCCCCCTCAGCTCTTACTCCTTCGCATTGGTTCTGCAAAGCCTGGTCACCTGAGCCAGAGGAAGTAAGGGCCACTGTGAGCAGAGAAAACAAGAAATAAACTCTTGTCGTGGACAAATAGCAAATCTGAAAACAAGAAACAGCTCTGCATGAACCCCCCTGGCCCACAGGGTCAGACCAGACAGCCACTCAGTGACCATGGGCAGCGAGGGGTCGAGAAAGCCAAGAGGTGCCCACTGGAAACTCAGAGGGAGACAGGAAATAAAATCACTGTTTAAACGTTCTCATCCAGGGGTCTGACAGTCGTTCCCATCCAGGGTCAGAGAGACCTGTCTTAGGTCCTGCAGTCCCTTGCAAAAGCAGCCATAGGCAGGACATAGGAGGAGCAGGGAGACTTAATTACAGAACACAGCCGCAGTCCTTGGTTTACAACTGCTCTAACGCAAATGGTTAAATAAATACGTCTGGCAACCTTGAAAAGACCGAACAACACTTCAAGCAATATTCAAAACCTACAGATCCCTCCATTTCCCAGTGTAGAAAATATTCAGTAAACACTTATATGCCAGGCATCGTGCTCTGTGGGGCAGATTCAGGGAACGAAACAGCCATGGCACTGTTTTCAGGGTGCTTACTGTATACAAATGTCAAATAACTACAGCATCACAAAGGCGCAGCTAGGCACACACGCGTCATCCCGACCCTCAGGAGGTTCTAGGCAGCCTCGCCAACCTCGTGAGACCTGTCTCAAAATTTATTTTAAAAAAAAGCGGGGCGGGGGGGGGGCTGGGGATATGGCTCAGCGACAGGGTGCTTGGGTTCAATTCCCAGCACCTCTCTCTCAACACACACACACACAGGTGCTGAGGGCAGGGGCCTGGCTTGGTGCTAAGATATTTCTTCAGGAAATCCAGGTTTCTGCTGAGACTAGAAAAGCACCCAGGAGCTAATCAGGGAGAAGGAAAGAAGAACATTCCGGGCACAGGATGCAGCAGAGAAGAGCCAGGGCAGGCAGGTGAAGGGCAGTCTAGGTAGGGGAGGGGGAGAGTGAGGAGTCCAGACCCCACCCCAGGGGGCTGGGGCAGCCACAGGCAGGGCCTCCAGCAAGGTGTTGACCTTTGTGGACTTTGCCTCAGGCCAAGGGAGGAAGCCAAGGATTTCCAGGGGAGTGATGGTAATCTCATCTGGTCTGTCCACAAACTCGCTGGGGCTGCAAGCTGGAAGTGACTGGAGGGAGGGTACACAGTGAGGCAGGACGCAGGCGCCTAGCTGCAGCAGAGGCAGTGAGGACGGGGACAAAACTCAGGCATAATCAGAGCACAGTGTTAACAGTCACGGTGTCTGAGTGGAAAACAGGTATGTGCTCAAGGTGACACCAGGTTTCTGTCATGAGGAACTGGTGTCACATGCTCAGACGTGACTCTACAATCTCTTCATTTCTGGGGTCATACCTTTTGTGAATCTATATTTTGTAATTCACTATTAAAATGTATAGCCCTAGTCAGGGATGGTGGCAAGTATCTGTAATCTCAGCTCCACAGGAGGCTGAGGCAGGAGGATCCCAAGTTCAAGGCCAGCCTGAGCAACTTAGGGAGACCCT